TTGATTTAAAGGCCCTGGGGCCTTTAAATCAACCCTGGGGCTCCCAGCTGCAGAGGTGGCTGGGAGCCCCCGGGGCTCAGGGGCAAATTAAAGGGCCCGGGGCCCCCGGCCGCCACGGAGCCCCGAGCCCTTTAAATCCCCACCGCAGCTCTGGCTGCTGGAGCTGCGGGCGGGATTCAAAGGGCTCTGGGCTCCCCGCAGCCGCGGGAGCTCTGAGCCCTTTAAATCCCGGCCCCAGCCCGGCCGCCAGAGCTGCGGGCAGGATTCAAAGGGCTCTGGGCTCCCCGCAGCCACGGGAGCTCTGAGCCCTTTAAATCCCGGCCCCAGCCTGGCTGCCGGAGCCGCGGGCGGGATTCAAAGGGCTCTGGGCTCCCCGCAGCGGCGGGAAGCCCAGAGCCCTTTAAATCCCTGCCGCAGAAGCCGGTGCAGTCTGGCACGGAGTACTGGCTCTTGCCGGTACGCCGTACTGGACCGTACCGGCTTACTTTCACCTCTGTCTTGCAGCCATTTCGCCAAACCAGTGCAGCCTCCAGCATGGCCCCTTGGACAGAGCCCTGTAGACATGGTTTATGTCCATTAAGGAATTAACTTCAGCTGGAGCGATATATGCTCTTTCTACCCCGACAGCCGCAGAGGAGTTTTGCATGTGTTGAACTAAACTGGTGCAGACAGGTTTATAGGAACACTAATGAGCTTGGCAAACATTACCATTTCCTGCTTTGTTAAGGGCTGGCTGTGCGGGTTCTGGCTTAGACATCACACTCTGCGATAGGTACCTCTAGCTAAGGCCCCAGCAGAGCAAAAGCCATAGACAAATTGGAGTTATTGAATATGTTTATGTCTCAGAAAAGGGACAGCTCCCCCCTCCAGGCAGAAACGCATAGCAGATTTGTCAGAAAAATAATTTTATTCCATAAACAAAAATCACATCCACATACCACTAGAAACATTCTGGTTTACGGGCAAACAGAGAGAGAGCTGCTCTTTGAAGCTGCGGCAAGGGCAGCACACAACTGGCTATCAGACAGGGAATAAATACTAGCTGCATTTATTGAGTAAGGTTTTGCTGAGGCAGAACTCCAGGCCCTGATGAGCAAGCAATCCGCCCCATAGTGCCCTTCCATCCTGGGCCGGGTCAGCTCACACCGCTCAAAGAGCGTTCTTGTGGGTTACGTTCCTGCGTGACTCTGAGATTGGGGTGGCCAAACTGCTGCTCGCAAGCTACATGCGGCTCTTTTACAGTTCAAGTGCAGCTCTCAGAGTCCCCTATGTCCCCCTGTTCTCCACCTACCAGACTGTGGGGGGATGGAGGAGCTCAGGGCTTCTGCCCTGCAGCAGGGTGGTGAGGCTGTGGGCCCGAGTAGGTGCGCCCGGCTCTTGAAAGTCTGAAGATTATTGTATTCAGCTCAGAGGATCGGTAAGTTTGGCCACCCCCGGCATAGGCCATTCCGAGCATATTGCTCCCCTCCGGGCAGTCGCACTGCTGAAGTGGAAGGTGCATGGCACGTAGGCAAGTTAGCGTTCTGCCTCTCCTGACAGTCATCTAAAGTTGGAAAGCCCAAAACGGAGGCACCAAAATCAGTGGCCACTTTTGAAAACTCAGGCCTGTGAGACTTGCGCCACAGGAAGTCTGTGGCAGGAGAAGCAGAACCCAGATCCTGCATCTTAACTACAAAAACATCCTTCTTCCTCCCAACTAGGCAGAGCTGGCAGTAGGAGAACCCCATAGCTTGGATGATGCTTTTAGAGCGGAGTCGGAATCGAAATCACATGCAAAGCTTCAAGGAGATCTTCTCACTTCCTCAGTGCAGAACAGGCCAGCTGGCACTGCGAAAGCCACGCAGTGCACAGTACATCCTGACCTTCCCTTCCAGCACCGGACCGTTTTCATAAAAAACAGACCCATGCCCATTCTAGCAGTTATGAAGCAAACGCCTGCAACCCTCCCCCCCAGTTTTTGCTGCATCTTGTACCGACAAGTATATTGCTGGGATTGCCTTTAGCCTTTTTCATGATCCAGAACTGCCCTCCTGTTAACGCCCTACGGGTCCCGGACACAGCCGGCGGCAGGCTTAGAGATGAAGAGGATACCCACAGGACAAGATCTTTTGAAGCAGAGACACATTCCTCCTGACCTCTGTCTGCCTCTGAACTTCCTCTTATTAACAAGAAACTCTGAGACAAAGGAAAACTTGAGAGAAGGGAAGAAATAGCCAAAAAGAGAAGAAAAGAACTGTGTGAGATGAAAGAATGAACAAAGCGAAAGAATGAAAAAACAGGGCTGGGGCGAGGGAAGAAAGAAACTAACAACCAGATCAGACGGATCCCCCTGCAGGAATTTGAACAGCCTAGGTGCAGCCATGTATCAATGATGCGTTTGAAGTTTAACTTCCACCCACAGTTCCATCCATTTCAGCAAGAAAAGGGAGAATTGGCCTCTGCGTAGTTGGCCTCTCTTCTCTCTCCACTTCCTCTGTTGGGAGCTCACTGTGCAGTTCATTGCTGTCACCTAGAAGAAATCACAAGGCAGGAGACCCTAGCACACAATTACTACCAGAGCCATGGCCGGGCCAAGCCAAGCACCCAGGGCAAGCCATGGAGTGTGGAATAGCCTCACTACAGTCCTTTCCCACCCGTCCTTCCTCTGTTTGCCCATTCAGACTGTGAGCACCTTCTCAGAGCAGGGGCTCTCTCTTGCTAGGTGTGTGCTGTGCCCTCAACAACAGGGCCCTGATCCTGACCGAGGCCTCTAGACACTCACAATACAAATGCTCCTCATCACCTAATTCCAGCAGCTGTGTGACTGCATGCAGTAGGTCTGGGGGGAGAGAAGAGGTGGAGTCCTTCACTGCTCCTCCCATCCCCCAGCTGGTGCTGCTGGGACACCGCCCACTGAGCGAGGACATGGGGAAAATGGTGGCCTCTCCCACCCACAGACATTTTACCAAGCAGCTTGATAGGGGCAGCCTATCTCACTGCAGCGATGCGTCTCCAAAGCCAGGTGCTTACTCTCAGTAAAATGGTAGCCAGAACCAGCCTGGGCGCTGTTCCCGTTCACCAGGGCTGTCACTCGATGCACATTGGAGTTGCCAGTCACCTCTTCTTCCTCCCTCTCCTCCTCCTCCTCTTCTCCATCTGAATCCACCAGCATGAAGACATCATTTGAGTCTTGATTCCTGTGATCAGGAGGGCAAATGAAAGTGACTGAGAATGCTGCAGGACTGCCCCTTCCCTCTTCCTCCCAGCCCCCAGCCTTCCTCCATTCCCCCAGGGGGCTACGGAATTGTACCTTTGTCTCTAACAGGGTGCTGCTAGTTACGGCTGCTTTGTCAAGTCCTGGACTCACGCCCTCAAAGTCCACGGGCAGCAATAGTGCTGAGAGGGCTTTGCAGCTCGGCAGCATTTTTCATCCAAAGTCCTCAGAGTAATTTACAAACATTCATGGATAACCGGCGTGCCTCAGTTTCCCCACCTGCGAGGGGAGTACTTTCCCCGTTGCACAGGTGGGGAAACCGAGGCACGCCGGTGGGGAAGGAAATCACCCAAAGCCACACAAGAGTGGACAGAACCCAGAAGGGGAGGGGAGGAACAATAAGCACTAGAAAAGAGTGAAGAACACCACGAGCCCAGGAAGGTTCCTGTTTTGCTGTCACTTGAGGTTGGAGAAGCTATTTGTAAACCAGAGAGGCAGCATGTTGTTGCTTTTATTTACTCCCTACGCTTTAAAGAATCAAGGCAGAATGACCTTGTCTTCAGGGGGCAGGGGATGTGACTCAAAAGCCAGGGCCTCTCCGGCAATCTCAAAGACATCGCACAACAAGACCAGCCAAGGAGTCTCCAGTACCTTATCCCTCCCTCTTCCCCACAACTTAGTTTAACCAAACGGCACTTTGTTCAACAGCACGAGAGGAATTTACATTGGCGTTTCCTTCTCTATTCCCTCGGGTCAGCGTAACACGTGTGATCTCGCCCCTTCTAGCGGCTGTGCCACAGGGGACAGAAGCCTGGCTACTGGCAATAGCTAACAGAGAGTCTCAGTTAGCTCAAGTGACTCGGGCCTGTGGCTTTGGTCCTTGGTTCTGTGCAGGACGTGGCATCGTTACCACTGCACTCACCTTAGCCTATGATTTCAGTAGATACAGCTCCTACCTTGGGTAGCGTATATCCTAGCTACAACCGCAGCAAGTCTACCGGACAGCAGATATACCTAGGTTTGCACAGAGATCGGGGGAAGGAAAACACTCACCTGAATATGCTGCCTGGGGGGAAGAAGGGAGAAGGGAAAAAAAGATTTAAGAGACCTTCATAAATGTGATTCCTCAGACAAAGCAAAGTCAGTTTCACAGTACGATCATTTGCTGCCTTTGGCAATATTGTCTATTATACTGAACTGGGACTGTCCCAGGCAATCACCACGCGGACGCACGGCCCGGGAAGGTGCCGGAAAGCCTCGGGGAGGTGGTGCCGTCCCCCTGAAGCAGCAGAAGGCAGCTGTGGTCGGCTCAGAGACTGATGAGACAACAGCGTCAGATACAACTTTGCAGGGGAAGAGGAGGGAGGTTTAGCACAGGACACACACAATCTCCAGTATTACGAAAGGTCCCGCAGAGAGACAGCCATGCCATCCTCTCTTGGTCGGCTATGCAAGTGCCCTGCTCTCTGGGTACCTCTGTCCCTGCTTCCGAAGCGAACACTATTCCTATAGGGGCTAGGGGAAGGAGCCCGAGGTAAGGTGTGCCCATCAGTGGTGGACACAGGTTAGTGGGGTGGGGAAGGGCCCCAGGATTACAGGCTGGGGTAAAACTGAAGAACTGCACCAGGTCAGGTCTGGAGAAGCAGAGCTCCTATCCCCTGTGTGCCTTGTGGCTGGGAAGGGCAGAGAGGGGGCGGGGGGGTCTGTGTGCCAGCTCCTCTTACCTTTCAGACACAGGAGGGGGTTGTAGTACAAAATGATGCCGGAGATGACCAGAACTCCCAGCAGCAGCAGGACCACGACTGCTCCCACCACCCCGACTATGTTCACCGGCTCTGTGCGGAGGAGAGGAGAGACGCAGCAGCTCAGCCTATGGGATGGTCACTGGCTAGACACAGGTGTGGGGCCGGTCACAGTGCTGCCCTGATGCCAATGGTTACCCTGTAACTGGCCTGCTCCTTCGGCGGGATGGGTGCATCGGGCGCCAGCTTGCCATCATGCACACACACCTCCTGCAGGTGAAAACCACGGCAGTGTGCCACGGGAACTGCCCCGGCTAGGCTCTGGCTGGCTGCAGATTTCAGCACGTGCGTTCAATACAGCTACACAGTAACACACGCTGTCAGCCTCACGAAGGGACCGCACCAGTCACTCAGCTGACCCGTAAACGGCTTCTCTCACACATCAGGCTGGTTTTATAATCAAGGGTGGAAGAATTGTGTCGTTTTTCACACTGATCCTGCTACCTCCGGCAACTGGACCCATTCACCAGACTAAGCTCGCGGCTCTGCCAGCCAGTGTCCACTGGCGCCCCCCCCACCCCCCGCAGCTGGGAATGGTCCGATGGACAGAGGTACATGGGAGACAACTATGAACGCACACAAATGAATGAGGCGTAAGCTCATCTCTCCCTAGGGTTTTACGTCTCACGGGGAACCCTAGAGGAGACGAATCCAGGGCGGTACATCAGAGACTCACTTACTGCTCCTGTCTTCATGTCATGCTCCCTCTCCTCGCACCCTGCTTCAGCTCCCCACAGCAGCAGCATTGCTAACTTACTCTTCACAGTGAGGGAAACATAGGCTTCCTTCAGCCCCACGGGGTTCTCAGCTTTGCAGACGTAGTAGCCTTCGTCAGCGTCGTGGGAGCAGTTCTGAATGGTGAGATTGGAGACGCTGCCCTCTTGGGTAACCAGGTACCTCCCCCCAGATTGGATCTCCACCTCTGGCTGGGAGACATTCCGAAGCCAGCTGATTCTTGCAGGGGGATTGCTCTCCACCACCTGGCACGTGAGGGACACGGTGCCACCCACAAAGCATGTCTTCAGTGGCTCGGTCGCCAGCGAAGGGGCCTCTAAACAGGGAGGGAGGAAGGGAGTTGAGAAAGAGGTTGAAAATCCTATAGGAAAAAGATCTTATGTTCCTAGAGCAACTTGCAAATGACTTCAAGTATGGGTGTATGTACAAGAACCCGGGATCCACACTGACAGGCAGCCACTGCCCACCCAGATAATTAGAGGAGGCACAGGCCTGGGTCTCGGGAGATCGGCATTCAACTCCCAGCTCTGCCTTTTTTGACCTTGGGCAAGTCTCGTAGGCCCTGGTTCCAAGCATGTAAGCACTTGCCCACCTTCAAGGTTAAGCACGTGCTTTGCTGAAACGGGGCCGGATCCCTTCCTTTGTGAGGCAGGGTGGCCTGATGGATAGAGCCCTGCACTAGGCCTCAGGAGCTCTGGGTTCTAGTCCCGGCTCTGCCACTGGCCTGCTGGGTGACCTTGGCCAAGGCACTACACAGCTCTGTGCCTCAGTTTCCCTATCCTAGCACACGCACACACTGAAAATCCAGTCCCTCAAGTTGGGCAACCAAAAAAATCGAGGCTCCCAACATCACTATGGACTTTTTAAATTCTCAGCCCCACTTCTGCAAACCCGTACGTGCCTGAGTAGCTGTATGCACGTGAGTCATCTCACGGACCTCCATGGAACTACTCATGTCCATCAAGTTATGCCCAGGCGGAGGCTCTGGGCCACAGGCTCTGATCCCCGCTGCCTTGGGCCCTGCATAGCCATTTACTGTTGTGTCAAACGCTCCCATCCGGATATGCTAGTGTCCCCCCCACTTTGCACAGCTGGAAGTGACCACAGGAGGTGCAGGCAGGGGAGAATCAGACTCCCTGGATGACTCCCTGCCCTCAGACCTGTGTCTGGGGCTCTCACTGGAGCCAAGCGGGCAGCCTGGCTCTCCACATGCACAGGTTCGTTAATGGCTAACCAGGGAGGGACAGGCTGACGCACTTATCTGCACAGTGCAAGTTGGCTCCGCTTTCTCCTGCTTTAGGATGTGGCTCCCGACACACTTGAACGTCTTCCCGTGGAAGAGGCGAGAGCTGCTCAGCGTTTCCACGTGGGTGTCCCCGGTGCCTGTTGCATTAACGACCCAGCTCGAATTCTCCAGGTCTCGCCCGTCTTCTGTCCACTGGAGGATGGGGTGCGGGTATCCCCCGGGCCAGTTACAAAACAACTGCAGCATCAACCCCACCTGGGCAGTTTGAGCCCAACACCTTGGGACCGATGGCGGGGGATCTAACAGCAAAACACACGAGGTTAAAGACGCCTTCATCTCTGCTGAGATACACCATGCCGTGAAACCATAACGGTGTCAGCACGTTAGCCTGGGAGGTATTCTTCCCCTAGCTCCTTTTAAAAATCTTATTGTTCTTCTCTCCTCCCACTTGTCTCAATACCCTCCCTGCAGTTTCACACCAGTCTTTGGGGGGCACGTGTGCTCTTTTCATAGACACAGCAACCACTGGAGACCCGGGACGAGGTTCCCAATAGAAAAGGCAGTGGGGCAATCTCAACCCAGCCCTTACAGGGAGCAAGAAAGCCTGTCCCCCTAAACACTAGGCAGTGAACCATCCTTATGCTGTGCAGGACAGTTTTGGTTTTAGCTTGTGCGTTATCTGATGTTAATACAGCAGTACGTCTTAGCAATCACACCTTCGTCCTTCCTGATACATTGTGGTGCATACACCGTCCCTCGCGGGCCAGATCTCGGGCGTCATATATTCGCATAGCTCCACTGACTTCACAGGGGCTACATCAGTTTACACCAGGTGAGAATAGGGCCCGACAGCTTCAGAGCACTGTACAAATATTACTTGTCAGTAAATAGCATAGAAACAAGGTGGGTGAGGTTATATCGTTTATTGATCCAACTTCTGTTGGTGAGAGAGACAAGCTTCTGAGTGACACAGAGCTCTTCTCCAGCTCTGGAAATTACCTTTCCCACAGCTGAGGAAGAACTCTCTGTCGCTCCAAAGCTTGTGTCTCCCCAACAGAAGTTGGCCCAATTGAAGATATTACCTCCCCCACCACATCTCTCTGATATCCTGGGACCAACACAGCTACAACATGGCAAATCGTAAATATCATCATCAAGCTTCACCCATGAAACCGCTCACGTTTCACCCAGCGAGCGTGGGAAATGACAAGACTCTTGCTACACGCATTCAGTTTGACGACATGGGATGAAATTTGGTGCCGCAGAAATGATCAGCATGTCCATTTCCAGTTGTGTGCAAAGCTGCACCAGGTCGATGATGTCAGACCCAGCTCCAGCTCAGGGTGAGACTTGTGGCCCAGATCACCAAGATCATCCCTTCGAACCTGATTCGGACAATATGCCTATCCTGGACCAGACTCACAAGCATGGTTGAGGCAGATTTGAATACAGAGATTCTAACCCACCCACCCCCTCCTCCCCTAGGAGGGTTCAGGGTTGAGGTTTACATTTGGACCCAGTTTTTTGTAGCAAAAGGTTTTAAGAAGCAAAAGCCAGGATACCATTCCCGCTCTGATCACCCCCTGTGCTAACGCCCAGACCTATTGGCAGGGAAAGCACTGGAAAAGCAACCCCCCTCCCCCCATTCCTTTCACCAAGCCATAACACTGCCAACGCTCTTACGCACAGTAGACCAGGAGCTCCTTGGTTGATGTCTGACTTCTGCCACTGAGAGGGTTCCTTGCTGTGCAGGAGTAGTTCCCTTGGAAGCGCCAGGATAGATTTTGCAGGGTGTAGACGGTGGAGGAGCCATTGACTTCAGTAAACGTTTCCGGGGCCGAACTGGGCAGCTGGAAAGTCCACCCCATTGTGGGCTCGGGATGGGAGTTGCTGGTGCAGCTGAACATCACAGCGTCGCGTTTGTCTACGTACACCGTGCCATTGGGCAGTGTTGCGGCGGGGGAGATGCTGACAGTCACGCTGCTGGGGCCACCTGGAATGGGCAAGGAGAAACCCGAACTGGGGTGTGTACCAAAACAGTCCCCTCAAAGCAGCGTAAAGTGCTACTTTACGTCTAAGCAAAGCCTGCCCAATATTTAGCTGGGGAATGCGGGTTAGCTGGGGTCCCCCCCGTTTGACAATGCCCGTGCATGCTGTGCGATCTACCTCCAATGGCTTTTAAAGGCCTCCTGGGGAAGTGGCCAGCTACAGCCCTGAGCTGCAGGAGTCCCTATTGCCAGGCCGTGGGCAGCCAAAGCTTGAGTGCTTCCCAGTGCACCGGGTCAAGCCCAGCCCTTAGGCAGGAGGAGGCTGAACGCTGGCGCTCCACGTGGCCACAGAACAGCTTACAGGATGGGAGCCTGGGTCTTCGCAATGAGCCCCTGGGCCGAGATCCAGGCCTCCTCCGTCCCCGCCCGCCCTACTCTGCTTGCTGCAAGACGGCTGTATGTGCCAGCTCTGCTTTGCAGCCCAGATCAACGTACAAACTGCAGTTCAGCTGCGGGGGCAAATTCCACAATCCAGAGGACCCAGGGAACGTCATGTCTGCACTCCTTCCAGGGCTGTTGGTTTGATAGCAACTGGGATTATGTTGGTTTATTATTTAAATAGCGAAAGAACTGAACGAGGGGACAGCGAGTCAAGAGCCATCTGTAGCCCCAGACTGCTACATTCGCAGGGGGGTGAGAGGATGGGGGGGGAAAACACAGGACGGGGGCTGCTCCCAGCTGTTGCAAAGACTGGGGCTGAGTGTGCTTTCTCCTCATTTCCGGTCTGTAGTTTGTTTTCTTTAAGCTCCACATCCATTCACGTGTATTTTTGGCACTCAAACAGTAATCAAACAACTCCCCCTAGAAATAGTCTTGGGGATTTCAGGGTTAGCACATTGTGTTACCGTGCCAGCCCGCGCAACCCGACTCCTAATTCAACTCTATCTTTAGAGAGCAGTTGTCAACACAGGGGCTGTCAAACAAAGCCCGGCACTACAGTCTGCACAGGAGGGGGCCCAAGGGAAAGGAGATCTGAGGGCTGCTCTGTAGGGCATTTATCCAGTTGGCAGCAAAAACTGCAACAACAAACAGTTTGCCAGCACCACCCCAAACCTGGGTTTAGTAAGGAGCATCTGCTTCCTTTGGGCAAGTGTATGGACTAGGGTGTCAAGCGATTAAAAAAATTAATCGTGATTAATCGCACTGAAACAATAACAGAATACCATTTATTTAAATATTTTTGGATGTTTTCCACATTTTCAAATATATTGATTTCAATTGCAACATAGAATACAAAGTGTACAGTGCTCACTTTATATTTATTTTTGATTACAAGTATTTGCACTGTAAAAAAAACAAAAGAAGTAGCATTTTTCAACTCACCTGCAACTACAAGTACCTTAGTGCAATCTCTGTATCATGAAAGTTGAACTTACAAATGTAGAATTATGTACAAAAAAACCTGCATTCAAAAATAAAACAATGTAAAATTTTAAAGCCTGCAAGTCCACTCAGTCCTATTTCTTGTTCAGCCAATCGCTCAGACAAACAAGTTTGTTTACATGTGCAGGAGATAATGCTGCCCGCTTCTTGTTTACAGTGTCACCTGAGAGTGAGAACAGACGTTCGCATGGCACTGTTGTAGCCAGCGTCACAAGATATTACATGCCAGATGTGCTAAAGATGCATATACCCCTTCATGCTTCAACCACCATTCCAGGGGACATGCGTCCATGCTGATGATGGGTTCTACTCGATAACAATCCAAAGCAGTGCAGTCCGACGCATGTTCATTTTCATCATCTGAGTCAGATGCCACCAGCAGAAGATTGATTTTCTTTTTTGGTGGTTCGGGTTCTGTAGTTTTTGCATCAGAGTGTTGCTCTTTTACGACTTCTGAAAGCATGCTCCATACCTCGTCCCTCTCAGATTTTGGAAGGCACTTCAGATTCTTAAACTTTGGGTCGAGTGCTGTAGCTATCTTTAGAAATCTCACGTTGGTACCTTCTTTGCGTTTTGTCAAATCTGCAGTAAAAGTGTTCTTAAAATGAACAACATGTGCTGGGTCATCATCTGAGACTGTCATAACATGAAATATATGGCAGAATGCGGGTAAAACAGAGCAGGGGACATACAATTCTCCCCCAAGGAGTTCAGTCACAAATTTAATTAATACATTTTTTTAACGAGCATCATCAGCATGTCCTCTGGAATGGTGGCCAAAACATGAAGGGGCATACGAATGTTTAGCATATCTGGCACCGAAATACTTTGCAATGCCGGCTACAACAGTGCCAAACTTGTAGGCTCTGAAGTTTGACATGGTTTTGTTTTTGAGTGCAGATATGTAACAAAAAAAAATCTACACTTGTAAGTTGCACTTTCACGACAAAGAGATTGCGCTACAGTGCTTGTATGAGGTGAATTGAAAAACACTATTTCTTTTGTTTATCATTTTTACAGTGCAAATATTTGTAATTAAAAATAATGTACACTTTGATTTCAATTGCAACACAGAATACAATAAACATGAAAATGTAGAAAAACATTCAAAATATTTAGTACAGTTCAACTGGTATTCTCTTGTTTAACGGTGTAATTAAAATTGCGATTAATTTTTTGGAGTTAATCGCGTGAGTTCACTGCGATTAATCGACAGCCCTAATATGGATTTTTCCATCGGGCTGGTTAGAGAGGATACAGAGCGTAGCAAACCTGGAGCCTCCCTTTCCTTTCTCTTATACGTGGAGTTTAGGCAGCAGGGTTAGGCTATATGCTGTGCCCAGGGTTTGAGAGTGAGGTTTATTTTGCTCATAAATAGCATCACCTACGTACGCTAGGGAAAACGTTTACCCTGATGTAGAACTGGCCATTTGAGAGAGCTCACACCACTTTCTAACCACCGAGTAATTACGCTGCACTGGCCCCTCTGCAGGAAGAATTATTATCCCCATTTTATAGATAGGGAAACTGAGGCACAGAGGTTAAGTAACTTGCTCAGACTCACACAGAGAGTTAGTGGCAGAGCCAGGCCCAGACGCTGATGCCCAGTTCCCTGCTCCATCTCGGGCTGATAGTGGAAGGCTGCACAGACTCAACCAGAGCTCATTTGCATACTAGTATAAACAAACAGAACATTCATTTTCTATGACTCACCCACCTTATTCAAATAGTCAGGGCAAAATAGCTGGATGCAGGTGAACTCCCCACCCTGCTTTGAACAGTCTCTATACTGCAAACATATCCTTTCTTGGGATTTGGCTTGATTGGTAACTCCAGTGACTAAGCCGAAGCCTCAGTATAAGCTTTCTTGCCAAAATGGGATGTTTCTAGTTGCAGAATTTCCTCTGTCCCAGATCCAAAGAGCCGATCCAGCCTTTGCTGGAGTTAATATGAGTGAACCTGCCAGCATGAGTCATCAGAAATTACTCCACAGCTTTATTTAGGGTCCAAGTACCTGAGTTCAGGGTGACTCGGCAGAAAAGCACCATCTCTTTGTGCTGGGTCTTGGAATCTCCCACCCGGACTAGTGTTCGATTAGCGTCTGAACGCCTGGCTTACATCAATATAACGCTACTAGCATCTAGACACATTTCGAAACAGCAGCTTGAGGACTGTCCTCACCTGTGATGATCAACACTAACGACTAGCCCGTGCACGCGGGTCCACTTGCCCGACAAACATATTGTTAACTTACAGTTAAGGGAGTTGAGCCAAACTAAGTGCGAACGTTCCAGGAGATTGGGTGTGCGTTTCCCCTCAAATCACACAGCTCGGCACCACCACAAACACAGGACAATGGCGAAAAGCCAGAACTGAACTCCTATTGATTGCTATCGTTAAGTTCTCTCTGATATTTGGGACCTTTTCATTTAGATTTTAAAGTAGAAGGGACCATTCTGATGGCCCAGTCTGACGTCCTGGACAACAGGCCAGAGTACTCACCCAATCACTCCCGCGCCCTTCTGGCTGAGGTAGAGCGTCTCTTTTCGAAAGATACCCAATCTCAACTGAAAGACTGCAAACGATGGAGAAACTACCCCATCCCTCGAGAAGTTCTTCCAGTGCTTAATGAGCCTCGCTGTGGAAAATGTACCCCTTGTTCCTGGTTTGAATTGATCTAGCTTTAGCTTCCAACCACTGAATCTCATTATGCCTTTTTCTGTCTGCTATCGGAAATCTGTCCCTGTGTAGGTCCTTCTAGACAGTGGCCAAGTCACTCTTAACCTTCTGTTGGATTCACTACAAAGACTGAGCTGTCCATCACTCCTTATCCAACCTTTTCACAGGAAGTCCATGAATTGGGCCCCGTTTTATACATTCCATGTAAAACACCAAAACATCAAACAAACAAACAAACAAACAACCCCCCCCAGTGCAATGATAATACAGACCATGTCTGCAGTGTTCGACCAAGTGTAAATAACTAAGGTTCACAAACAGCCCTGCGAGGTGGTTACATACTTTTACAATTGGGGAAACTGAGTCACAGAAAGATTGAATGACTTGCCCAAGATCACTGGGAATTAGCGGCAGGGTTGGGCTTAGAACTCTAGAGTGCGCACTTCCCACTAACCCACATGCCGCAGCAGCTTTATTTCTTGCATTTGAATACTCTACGAATCAGCTGTTCATTTCAAATCCACGGCGGGGTTCCCTGCACTGCGAAGGGCCTCTCTCCCTGCGTGACCTTTTGGAGCGCTGCTCTGGGCAAAATGGGTGCAGCAGCTCTCAGTGAGAGGAACACCCTGAACACAAACAGGAAATAAGGCTGAGAGAAACGATACAAAGGATACAATAGCCTGTTCACAGCAGGTAACGAACAAGGAAGAAAGGAGCAAAGCTAATGCAGAATGTCACATGCCAGGGGACTGGAGAGCCCAAGAGGTAGCAGGATACAGACTCTTCCTCATTCCAGGCTACATCTTCATTTGAGTTGGAGCTGTAAATCCCAACGTCGACTTGGGTCGACGTGGGCGCGCTAGCTTTGATTGCAGTAGCACAGTCACTCCCCTAGCCGTACAATCCCGCCTGGGCCCCTCGGTACATACTCTGGCGGCTAGCCCATCCCACCAGTCATGCTGCTATGGCCACGCTGCTATTTTTAGCACACTGGCTCCATCAAAGCTAGCGCAGATGTGTCTACACAAGGTAGACATTACTCCTCCAGCCCGAATGCAGCCCTGACCCTAGATCACAGCAGTATGGGCTGTGCAGCGGGGCATAGGAAAGTGGTGGTCACAGTCCAGGCCCGAGTGGATCAGAGTCCCCATTGCACCCAGTTAGGCTGGGCAGAGCGGCTAACCATTATATCGGCAGACCGTGCTCCTCTCTAATCTCTAGAGGCGGCTATGGCCGAGTGAGAGGTGAAGCACATCAGCAAGGAACCGCAAGGGGCTGGCGTCCTGCCTGCCTGTGCTGCAGGTTTTCTAAGCGTTGCACTCTCGTGCTGTCAGCCCGGCACTAGATTCCCAGTTAGTGTAGGGCAAAACCCTGGCTGGAGGTCTAAGGACAGCCCTGCAGTCATGCAGCGGGAGAGGGGAGTAGATTCTGGAAACGGAGAGAAACTAAGACCCCCTTGCAGGTGTCCTAAATGAACCCTATATTTACACAGTGCCCTTCATTCCACAGGATTCCAACACACCTCCCAGACTACACACGCAGGAACCTTCTCCAGTGAAATGCAGCCACTTCTGGGGAAGAACCCAGTAGCCATTTAACAATGCCTAGCACTACTGCATAACAGTTCAGGACAGGGATTTAAAAAAGAATTCTGTCCAGAGCTCAAGCTTCAATGTCAATCAGCAGAATACGATTACCCCAGCTACAATTTGGCCAGGAAACAGGCCCATGGGATATTTAACAGGCAGCTAGGACCTTGGTTTTATTTCTCATCTCCCACAACTCCACAGGGCACTGACTCAGTGGGAAGAGGGCCATCTGCTGAATGACCACCCCCATGTCCTGCAGCAGCCTGTGTTTTGCCGTCCAAGCACCAAACAATCTGGCTTAGCCGGAGCAGTCTACCAGGATGGCAGCCCAAGGTGGGATGGCTGCCAGCAGGAACGCATTCTCCATTTCAATTATGCAAGTGGCTTTGCCTGTCTCCCGACCGTTCACATCCCCTATCGTGCCCTGGACTGAGCTATCCCTGCCTCGGCCCAGACACGTCAGGGTTTCCTTACTGTTGGTCAAAAGGGACAGATCTCTGCGGAGGGAGACCGTGTATCTACACAAAGCAGCACCTGTGACTCGCACGGGCACCGAACCGGGGAGAGCCAGCAGAAGTGAGACAATGAGAGCCCGCCTATGGCTCCAACATCATAACCTGCTTCTATTCATCTTAAATAACCCAAAGGGTAACTTGGACTCAGACAAAGGGAAAGCAAGTGGCTCAGGGGATGGGGGTGGGATAAAGACCCTCTCCCCTTCAGGTGTATGGTTCGATCTCAACCCCGAAAGTCATGCCCATTGGAGGGCACAGGGATGTCTGTGGCTAGTATTTACCACCCTCGAACGGGGGTGCCCTGGAAGTGAGGTTCCCATTTCACACGTGGCCTCCTGCACAGCTGCTTTGGCAGGCCACATCTGCAGGCCAGGCCAGGGCTCTGAGATGGCACCAAGCATTCTCTCTCTCAGGGGCTTGGCTGCCTGGTTCTTGCTCACATGCTCAGGGTCGGCTCGCTGGAGGTGGGGGGAGGAAATTTCCCCCCAGGTCAGATTGGCAGTGATCTTGGGGGGGGGGAGGGGTTCGCCTTGCTCTGCACCCTGTGGGTGGGGGTCACTTGCCAGGATTATCTCTCGTTTAATCATTTCCCTACAATTGCAGGGGCCTCGGGCACAGGCACACCTCAGTCCCTCCTAATCTCTGCCCATAGCATGGAATAGTCTAATCTCCTGGGGGTCCCATTTCCTTCCGTCTCACTTCAGTTGTTGGGTTTAGCGTGTGGGCGCTGGCTGGTGTAGACGGCCTGTGATGTACAGGAAGTCAGTCTAGGTGAACTAGCGGTCCCTTCTAGCTTTAAACTCTAGGACTCCGTGAGGTCAGGCCCCTTGCAGCTACAGGACACCGCGCGTCGAGGAACTCACTGGCTACCAGGAGCTGGACTCTGTGCTCTTGGACGGTCTCGTTCAGCACTTCCTTGCAGGTGTAATTGCCCCCGTCCTGCGGGCGCAGCGCTGAGATGTGCAGAGAGCTATTGTCCACCAGGGACAAGCGGGCATCTTTGGGCAGCGTGGCGTTGGAGGAGAAGAGTGGGGGCACAGCGCCAGGGTCACCGTGAAACCAGTCAACCTCGTCCGCTCGCTCGGACACATTTCGGCAGACGAGGACGACGCTCATTCCAGCCTCCCCGACGATCACCTCTTCTGTTCCTGCACAAAGAGAAAGAGAGTGTTAGAACATGCCCCATCCCCCATGTTCTCACCACCCCCTTTGGTGGCTAGCAGGTGCATCCCCCTGGGCATCACAGCAAAGGATTTTCCATCCCCCAAGCCATGCACCAAAGAGGAAGCCATCTCGTCCATGAAACAAAGCGGGGGCTAAACCCCTGACTAAGCAGGGGCCATCTAAGGTGCCACATATTGGGCACCCTGCTGGAAGAACACTGGGACCACCCTGGCCACTCACCAACAGACCTGTCCTAAAGCATGTTTCCCTGGCTGCTGAGTTTCTGCCCACCCAAATCCCCTTCCAAATCTGCATCCCTGGTTCTGCTCAGTTGCACAAGGGGCTGTCTTTGGGCCTCTATCTCAGTATCCTTTGCAACAGCTGCCACGGTGCCTCCTTTGAAGCATTGCTACAAACCAGCGCAAAGCTTTCTGGGATGCATTTGGCAGCTAAAGATGCCTAGTGCTGACAAGTGAGCAGAAACAGGGACCCTGCTTGGGCTGAAAATGAAAGACACAGGGCTAGCTGCTCCCTCCCTCCCACCAGCCCGGCGAGCAAGGGATTTGTGAGGAGCCAAATCTCATCTGGGCTACTGGGACCAGTGCACTGAGAGCCAGCAGTGACTGGAGTCTACATTTATCTGGTCTGAGTAGGGTTCAAAGTCACTAACCCATCTCAGCATTCACAGCCACCATGTCCCTGCATCCTCCCCATTTTCCTCCTTTATAGCAGCTCCAATTGCAACACTCATCCACGGTGGGGGAGTCAGACAGTCTCCAGTAAAAGTGCAATAATATTGCAGAATACAGAAATACAGAATTGCAGAATACAGTCTACAGAAACAGTAGCAGTTGGAAGATGATAGACACCACCCAGTCCTCCCGCTGACTGTCCTCATCAACCTCTGACCAGAGCTCGGCTTGCTTGGCCCGAGGCCAACGCCAGCGAGCAGAACTCCCATCGGGACACTGTATTCCAGCAGCAGACCCAGCGCTGCACCCCAAAGCAAGCCAGGCTTGGATCAGAGGAACGCTCAGAAAACAGGCCTTGGAATCTGGCTTACCCAGGCCAGGACTCCTGTCTAACACCAGACAGGTGGTGACCATACCGCTAAAACTGTCTCTACATAGAATGCCTTGCTACTTCCACAGTAACAAGGAGGGTGGGGGGGAAGGGAAAGAACAGATGATCTGGTAAAAGTCTCTCCTGTTTGTGCTTTACTGGAAGCCCTGATAACATATCTCACAGCGCAACTGCTACCAGGCTGGAGCGGACAGAACAAGGAAGGTGAACTGACAAGAATGGTGTTGTGTTTGTTCTTTCCCATGCGCACCGTGCTCCAGAGGCTATATATATCGATAGTTAATCACTCGTCAACACTGGTTGGAGCTTGTTTTGCAAACACGTTCAGGGCAGCAGGGAGGAGCAGGCTGCGGGAATGGTCCAAGTTAGCCATAAATCACTGTGCTTGTGGACTCAGCACAGAGCCGAAGCCAGAAGAGCTGCGTTCCATTCCCAGCCCTGCCGTCCACTCCCCTTAGGCCAGTAGCTAACGGCCCGATTCTGAGACGGGCCGGGCATTCTCCCATTCCACTGGATCAGGGCTGCCCTGTGGAGAGAGCCACTGGACGGGGACCCTGGAAACCTGGGCTCTAGTCTCAGTGCTGCTACTGCCCTGCTGTGCGAATTCATTTGCCCTCTCTGTGCCTCTGTTTCTCCTCCCACCCTATTTCAGTATGAAGCTCCCCCCGGCAGGGGCTGGTTAACCGTACCGGGCCGAGCACAGCAGAGTTCCAATCTTGGTCAGGCTCTCTAGGCACTACCAAAACACAAGTCGATTGACCAATAACAGCAGCAATTAAGTCAATAGGAATTGCAGGTGAAATTCTGGCTCTGAACCTTCCTGTGCCTCAATTACAAACAGGGGATATAGCACCGTGTGCCCATTTTGTGACGCGCTGAGATCTATGATGACAAGTACTCTCCGTATTATCAGACTATTTGTAATAAATCATAGTAGCTTGCTCTGATATAGCGCTTCTCATCCAGCTCTCTCAAACCCCTTTACAGAGGATAGTTCTCTCCATTTCACAGATGGGAAACTGAGGCACCAGCAGGGAACGTGACTTGCTCAGAGTCCTGCAGCAGAGCTAGGCACAGAACCCCAGCCCCCTGTGTCCCAGTTCAATGCTTCATTCACCGCTGCCTCCTGTAACGCTTTATTGTTCGGTCTAGGAGAACTATAGCTACTTCTGCATGTTGATGACACACAGAAGTAGGTTTTTAAAAAAGGGTAACTATAAAGTTTTAATAACAGAAATGCTTTTCCATGAGGCCACAGGAATTGTCCTGGCAGTCAAACAAAACTCATGGGGAAGTTTCCAACAGCTGTGTAGCTTTAAGAGAAAATTCACACACTTTTTCCTGTGCACTCAGTGATCATGCAAGAGAGCTTGACAACGCTGGGCACTGAAGTTTTCGCTGTATTTACAGCATGTGCAGTGGTAATGCCACCTTCCTCCATACTCCACATCCCTCCCATGCAGTGCTTCCCAGCGTGGGAGTATCCATGACCCCTTCAATCCTCAGCTTCTCTGCTGAGACTGACTGGCAGATGGCCAATTAGTGCCAGCTATGGAGGTGACTATTTGGGTGTTGTAGACACGTGTCCATTAAGAGCTGGGCAGAGATCTAGAAAAGGATGGTCTTGTGGTTAAATCACCGGACTAGGACCCAAGACAGCTGGATTCTATTCCGGGCTCTGCCACAGACTAAGTTGGGCGGCTCACTTCACCTCTCTGTGCCTCAGCTTCCCCACCTGTACAATGGGATTAATCATACTTCCCTACCGCACAAGGCGTTGTGAAACCAAACCTAGCCACAGCTTCCCGGAGAGGAGTCGACACTACAACAGCCCTAGATACCCGAGCGCGGAAAGCGGCGTTCCCAGCTCTGCCACGGCCCCGGGAAGGCTCCCTGCCTCAGTTTCTCCAACCTCTACAAGCGGAAACCCGAGACTTTGCCCCGCTTTGCACAGCGCTCTCCGGAGGAGCGCGGCTGGATGGTTACCGCAGCCGGGCAGGGCTAAGGAGCAGAAGCCGTTTGACCTTACAGCTGCCCCGCTTCCCCCGGAGGGGCAGGTCCTACCCGGCCGCCCTGCAGGTGCTGGTCAGCACAAACCAGGCGTCGGGCCCAGAGCCGTGCCCCGGGAATAGCGCGTCACACATGCCGCCTGCTCCGGGCCGGGCAGAGGAGGGGCCCTTCCCCCGCCGGGCCCTGCACAGCCCCCGGTAGGCTGGAGGGGCCGGGGTGCAGCGCCGGACACCGCGCTGGTTAGGTGCGAGTAGGGCACGGGCCGACCAGCCGCGGGCCCCTCTCCGCCCAGCCCCGGGGTCCGCCGCCCCCCTGCACCCGAGCGGCCCCCGGTACCTGCAGCGCCCCGGCCCGGCGGCAGCCGCCAGAGGCAGGCGGCGAGGAGCAGCGCGGCCGGGCTCCAGCCTGGGACCCGCATCTGGCCGGGCGGGCGGACACAGAGACGCCGCGCAGCGAGTGCCCAAGCCGGCCAAGCCGCCAGCCAGCCCCGGCACTGCCCGCTGGGGGCCGGGACCAGCCCCGCTCCGCCCCGCCGGAGCCGCCCCGCCCGCCTCCCTCCCCCCCGCGCCCGGACTCTCGCCCTCCCCGAGCTCCGAGCCGAGCAGGGGGGGGCCCGGCGCGCTACCCCCGCCGGCCGGGAGCCCGATCTCAGCCCTGGGCCCTGGGGGGAGCGAGCAGCGCTGGAGGCTGGAGCACGAAGCCGCCGACTCTGTCCCCGGCCCGTTGGGAGGCGGCGAAGCGGAGCAGAGGGTCATGGAGCTGGTGAAGCAGCTTGTGCTACCTGGACTCCCCCGTCCCTTCCCAACTCTGCCACGGCCTACCCGGGTCCCCGTCGGTGGGGCCGGTCGCTGGGGTGCCCCGGGCGAGCCCCCGGGTCCCCGTCGGTGGCGCCGGTCGCTGGGGTGCCCCGGGCGAGCCCTCGGGTCCCCGTCGGT